AACATCTGGAGGGCCGAGTTTGCCTATGCCTGGGTGAGAGTGTCAGACTTGGGACCTGGGAGACCAGGGTTCAAATCACCTTTCAGTCATGGAGCTTGCTGGATGACCTTGGCTGGACCAGTCGCTGTCTCTTAGCCCCTAACCTACCTTACAGGGTTGCTATGAGGATTAAGTGGTATGAGGAGAACCATGGGTGGCACTTTGAGCTGGAGGGAAGGTTGGATATAAACTTAATACTGATAAATAAGGAATAAACAAATAAACATCTTTCTCTAGCCTACTTGCTCCCAGTTTGAATCAGGGGAGGGGAGAAACTTTGGAATCATGAAAAAAGGCTTGCATCAAAAAAGGGAGGGGAATAAGAATCTCCATCCCAATTTCCCTCATACCAGGGATTCAGGTAGACAGTCCAGGTGACTTACACAGAACACTGCAGAGACAGCTTGCAGAGGGAGTCACCAGCCTGGCATTCCTTGTGTCGCAGCACCACCCTTATAACGGCCAGGGGATGTACTGCAGTTTATAAAGATAGCTGGGCCAGATTTGAGAGACCGTTGGGAATTGGTTGACTCTGTTTTAACTATTGCTTCAGCTTTGCTGCCGAAGGCCCAATTACACACAATGCATATTTACCGGGTGCCGAAGAGGTCAAAGGAAGCAGGAGTGACTAGGCAAGGACTCTAGGAAACACAGAGGTTCCCCATCTGTGTTTTAGAGGCCCAGGGGCAAATCTATACTGGGTAAGGAAGGGGATGGGCTGAGCAACAGCAAGTAGGGTTGCTATCCTATTTCTAGCCCTGCCCCTATGCCTTTAATGCCAGCGCTTTAATGCATGAAGAGAACCACGGAGAATATGCAAGATGCAGTATTTCTCATAATACTGCTGAATAACCCTAGTCAGCCCTTACATAATTATTTTTAATAATTATATTTATATTCTTCCAGGAAGAGGCAGACAAGGAGGAAAGCAAGGGAGGAGAGGAAGGGATGAAATAATTTTAGTCTAAAACATGTGTTCCCACCCTTTAAAATCCAGTTCTGATTCCCACCCAGCAGCTATTCATCATTAAGCCTGCAATCCTAGCGTCGCTTACCTGGGACTGAGTAAGCCCCACTGAACTCAATAGGACTTACTTCTGAATGGACATTGGTTAGACTTTCCACTGTAAAGCACCGTCACCCTTTGTTTGCCACAACTAGGAATGGCACCCTTGTCCCCCCACCCTAGTTTCTTTCTCCCTTTCAATAACAGCAGGCCAGGTCACCTCCATGAAGAAGAGACCAGGGGCACATGCCATCTGTCTCCCCATTCAGGGACGCGGACTTATAAAAAATATTGGGGGGGCCCGGGAAAGCTCATGAATAATAAATAAGCTCATGAATATGCAAATAAAGTGGCTCCGGCCCTAAATAGGGCAAGCCACGCCCCCCCAGCCAGCCAATCGGCTGGCTGGGAGGTGTGGCCAGTCGGGATTCCCCTGTTCTCGCGGGGGCCAGGAGGAAGGAAATTCCCCCCGGCAGTGCCTTGGCAGTGGCGGTGGTGCTGCGAAGCAGCGAGGCAGGAGCCCCCGCCCCCGGGGATTCCCTAATCTCGCGGGGGACGGCCGGGGCTCTCCGACTAGGGCGCGCGGCTGGCTGGCTGGCTGGCGAGGGAGCAGGTGGGGAGGAGGCGGGGGACGGCGACGGCGCTCTGCTGGAAGGGCGCCCGAGATTATTGGGGGGGCTGAGCCCCCCCAAAAAATTTTTTGAGGGGGCTCGAGCCCCCTCAGGCCCCATGGAGTCGGCGCCTATGTCCCCATTCCCATGACCTAAAAATGGGGGCGGGGATTTAACACTAAAAAAATAATTCAGGGCCCCAACCAGGGCAGGAGCAGCAGAACGAAGAAGAGAAAGCCAGGCAAGTTGGCCCCTCCGTTTCCCCACCTCCCCCTTCTCCAAAGGAAGACAAATTATGCTTATAATCCAAGGGATTGCTTTAAAGTCACCCTGTCAACTGGGGCTCACCCACAGTCCACACATTCCCTATGATGATGGCGACTGTTCTCAGAAACAAGCCAGGGTGATGCTACTGGCAGCCCTGCAGGCTCCTCTGAGGGCAGCAAGAAGGCTGCCTGCCTCCTCCTGAGAACTTGCTGCTCAGGTAAGAAGCGGCACTGCACGTGCTCACAGCCTGCGTTGTGATTGGCTATGGGCGACCGTAGCCCCGCCCCCATGCTTCGTTCATCTCACACGCTAGGTAAATTCTCCTGCCTCGACTGGCAGGAATGGAGGCGGTGGGAGGGGGCAGGGGAGGCAAAAGGGGCACCTCAGAGGGACAAGCCGCCCCAGCCAAAGGCTCAATGGCCACCTGCCTGTGCTCCTGCCTACCTGTGTTTCGTTTCTGCCCTGGAGACTCTTGTCTAGGAGTTCAAAAGGGCAGATTGGCTGGTTTCAGATGGTGAAGAGCAGCAAGTCTGGGGAGAGTGCAATTTCCAGTCCCTGGAAGTGGAAATGGGAAGGTGGAATAAAATTAAGGCCCAGCAGGAGAGCAGACACAGAAAACCTTCCACGGCAGGGTCCTGGGCACCCCTGAAGGACCAGCCTCCTCTGGAAGATAACACCAATAAAAGTGTTGCATTTGAGGAGATTGTTTTGCAGAAATATGTACATCAGGCAAAATTGCAAACAAAAACGTTCTATTGAAACAACTTTGCACTCGAGTGCTGGTGAATTTTCATCAGGACTTTTATGATTGCACAGTGGTGCAGATATGTGAAGAACTGAAGTTAAGGCTGGAAAAATGAGAAACTGAGAAACCGAA